GCAGCGACAGACCTGGGAGACAAATGCATAGAAATGCTACATGGCCAGCGGAAAAGAGTGGACACCAGCAGTGACAGACCTGGGAGACAAATGCATAGAAACGCTGCATGGCCAACGGAAAAGGGTGGACACCAGCAGTGGCACTAAGGGCGGACACGTCTTAAGAAAGAATTGAGACCCCTAACAGTAAACTGCTTGGGGAAAAAGCATAGAGAAAAAACAAATAAGACAAGTCCTCGCAATCCCTCTAGTTATACTCTAGAGCTCGAAAAAGACCACCTTTGACACTTCCAGTGAACCTTGGGTTGTCCCTCCACCCAGTGCCCTTTTCTATTCCCAGCGATCTTCTCGGAGATAGCTTTAAAACACCGTATGTATACATATATATATATACAGTATATGTATTGGGTCTATCCTATTAATGTTGACACAGGATTAAGTAACCACCCCCTATTAATCAATCCCAGCTCGACCCCCCCAATACTAAACTAATTTAAAACCTAGATTTCCACCTTGGCATCACCCTAATATGGTTTTTCTCTACCAGAAACCTCCCCCTATTAATCAATCCCGGCTCCCAAAAAAAATGGTTTTATAGTTATGTATTATATATCGATTTCTGTTTAACTTTCTTTTTGGCTAGTATCCAATATCCGTTGGTCCCTAAAAACCTCTCTAGCAAAACTCTTTCATTTTCCCTTTATTAAAACTCTATCAAAATCTTAACGTTTTCCAGCTCACAAAGGGTACCAATCTCACAGGCCTCAGTGTTCACACAGAATCATATCAACCATCATCCATCATCAGGTCATCGCCTTTATTAGGGGAATGTGGTCCTCAGATACCTCCAATCCTTGTTGACCATGAAGGGGGGGATCCCGTTTACTAATCCGGTGTCGAGATTACCAGTAACAGTGGATTGAGAGTAGATGACGCAATCCCCAAAAGGTGGGTATATGGACCTCCATCTATGTCAGACGTCTTGGGGGGGAAACGCGCCATGCGGACGGGGAAACTGCCTGTACCACCCAAGAAAAAAAAGACGCCAAAACCACCGACACCGGGGTCTCTCATGCCAGGCGCGATTTTCGCAGTGGGGGTTCTACAGGGCAAAACAGGCGAACACCTCTCGGCAGCCTAGTTTCACTGGCGCCATCATGGCGGTGACTTCTGTTGACGCCCAAAAAATTCATCCTGACGCCGCGCTTAAAAGTGTCTGGCGTTGCTGGCGACAAAGAACCTTCACTTTGAAGGTTTTCTCCAGGTCATCCATTTCCTGAATGAATTGAGTCACTCCGGCCTGGTAGAGCTTCCGGTCCACCTGTGTTAACCCTTCAATGTCCTTCTGGACGCTTTCGTTATAGTCATCCGCACGCTCGCTGTAGGAATGGTCGTGGTCGATATGAAGCGGCACGAAGGCATCCCAAGCCGAGGCATCTTCGCAGTTGCAATGACTCGGCAAAGAGTTCCTCCACTTTCGCATGACGTGGAGGAACTGGGGAGAGTACGACATGGAGAAAAGGGACTTCGTGGGGAGAGTTTCGAGGGATGAGAGTTGCCCGGGCCACCTCTCGAGGGACCCAGAGAACAGGGGCCAAAAACGCGATGCCGCCCGCGGTTCCAGAGACAAACCAAACCAAACGAGCAAAGGAGCCTGGTTCCTTACTATTTTATATATATATATATATACATTAGTTCAAAGTTGGGACTCCACATGGCCATGGGTTCTTAAAACAACATCAATATTTTGGGATTGATAAAGGACCTTACAAACTCCAGAATTACTGCAACCTCCAAGTTTGTGTATATATATAATATATTACCCCGCCCCCGGAACCGCGGTGTTCATAGATGTTATTGATATTTGCGGTGTGTTCTACGTTTTTGGAAAGACTTGATTTTTTGATGTTGGTCTGGGGGCGCCGTAAATAGATATATACATATATATATAAGAACATATACGCATACAGCACACACTGTGTTCTCGGAATCATGAAAGTATAAACTGTGCATAATTTAAGGTTCAAGAAAAATACAAGCATAGACCCCAAACAGCTTCAAAACGATTCGTTTAGACCAACATTAGTCAAAAATCGACTTCTTGGTACGCCCTACCTTCAACCCAAATGCAAACTGCTACATCAATGAAATTTGTCGGCATTGACATTCCTATTTCTTCGGCCGCACTCCTCTCCAGTAAGCCGGACCACAGAGACCAGCCACAGAGTTCAGGGGCGCGGCCAAGACAAGGACAAGAGGAGGACAAGACCCGGACACAGAGCCCAGCCACAGAGCAAGAGGAGGACAAGAGGAGGACAAGGCCTGGACACAGAGCCCAGCCAGAGAGCCCAGCCACAGAGGACAAGAGGATGACAAGGCCTGGACACAGAGCCCAGCCACAGAGTTCAGGGGCGCGGCCAGTGAGTGTGGCCAGCTCTTTTTTCTAAGATAGAACCCCGACAGTAAACTGTTTGGGGAAAAATGAATATCTTCTCATGTCTGTTGCGATTACCCTCGCACATCTTTTTGCTCAGCGTGGGGTTGACGAGAGCTCGATCCTCCCCTTAGGGATCGGCCAACAGTGAAACCACAGACGAACGCATCGAACAAGCATCGACATGCAGCATTGGGCGGCTGAGGGTGGGCAAGCTGCAATTTTAGTTACGAAAGCATGAGCATTGTTGAGGGCATTAACGTCTCTTTGGGAACATGTGATATCTCTATGGTTGGTTTAGCCACAAGTTGCTTCACAAGCTTGGACCTCGGCGAATGCATATCATTCGATCTACACATCCATGAGCTCACTATTCTTGCGAACCGTTTACTTCATGTCTGTTGCGATTGCCCTCGCACATCTTTTTGCTCAGCGTGGGGTTGACGAGAGCTCCATCCTGCCCCCGTCGAACTAAGCATCTCGGCAAAGATCTTATCACTATCAACCCACACCTGGACTGCTCCTATGTCGAGCAAAGGTTCGCACACTCCTCGGGAAGGATTGTCGGCGACGTTTGCTTCGGTCGGCGCGCGGGCGTGCCAGGGAATCAGAGACAGATGGAACTCTAAGTGGAGCGATGCATTAAGAGTATCTCTAGCAATTGCGTTAGTCGTAGAACAAGTCACCATGCAATCCTTCACTGCTTCGTTATCGGTGAAGAAAACTATATGGGATGACTTTAACTTATCGAACCATACACGCAAGGCTAAATACAATGCAAAGAACTCGCACTCAAATATGTTAGTCTTTTCCCCTTTGGGGTTCATCCGTTGCAGAACGCTCTGACTGAGCTCGAGAGCGAAGAACTCCTGGTACTTTCCGTTTGAATCAACAAGAACTGCACCAATTCCACTATAAGGATTACCGTCCTGCGGCTCGAATGATGCGTCCGTGAACACAAACCAGCAAGGAAAGCTGTGACCCGAAGTCACCTCGCGAGGAAGGCCGCAAGTCAGAAGGTCCCTCTGAAGACACAAAGCTTGCGCTGCTATCTCGGACAAGTTGTGGTCAACGGAGGAATACGCATGGCTGGTTACAACTGCTAGTGACTTCTTTGCCACTCGTCCAAACACCTGACCGGCTGCAAACTGCAACCGTCCTCGGAGTTTCAAGGCTGACATCCGATCGAGTTTGCGGTCTGCTACGATTTGATCGAGGGATGACACAATATCGGCCTTGCGGCTCGAGGTGTTGTCAAAGGAGACTGACCCCGTGCGAAACTCAAACAAAACTATGGATATACCAAGAGCTGAAAACTGGCGGGCGAAGTCACGAGCTTTATCTCCTTTGTCCGCGAACTTCCACCCTGTGAGACGGAAGAGAGATTCGACCACCGTCTGTACCGAGGAGTGCTCCTGTTCGGGACTGAGGACGATGAAGTCATCAAAATAGTTGCACGTCAGAATGTGGAACTCTGTTACAAGGATATGCCTCAAAGACTGTGAGCTACCCTAAGGAACGAATGCACTGATCGTACACTGCCGAACGGCAGAGCCTTCATGCGGAATGCCTCAAAAGCTCGGGCGTCAGGGTTTCGGACTATTATGTAGGCATAAATATGACTCGGGGTGAACTGCGCATTGGCGATATGCGCTTTTGAGATCAAACACTCTGCCTAGCCACTCACCAAAAGAATTTTTGCAGCCAAGGGTCTTGCTGCACAGGCCGGCAACGACATCTAAGGTGTGAGGCTTCGGGCTTTCCGAGGTCTGAGCACAAGCGTTTACCCCTGACTTGGAGAAGTCGTCAACGCAACGGATTTTGGGGCCTTGAACGACACCGAATCGGCGATTAAGGGGGGTATCGCCAGGAATGGTGTTTAGTGGAATTGGGCCCTCAAGAATGCCGCTTTTCACTTCCTCCAGGGTTTGCAGCCAGATCGATCTTTCAACCTCTTCCGAGAGCCAGTCCGACGTGGAGTCCAAAAGAGATTGACGTTCGCTCTTGGCACATACAGCTAGCTCCTCTAGCGTCATGGTCGAGGCGAGAAACGGTGTGGCCAAAGTCCAGTCGGCTCTGCCTCACCCACCAGCATGGACCCGCTTGTGAACTCTTGAACCACACCCAAGTCTGGATACGAGGTTGATTCAAGCATCTCCTTCCAGAGGAGGATGTTCTTGCTTGCCAAGACCGGAGGCATGGCCGCCTTCAGTTCAAGCTCCTGTTCTCTAAGCTGTTTATACCGTTCAACCGTTCAACCCAAAATGCTAGCCTTGCTGCACGATTCTTTACTCTATCGGCAGAAGATGTTTTGGCGTGAACCTCAACCACGTCTTCTAGTTGCTTGGGAACGCATGCAGCAAGTCTGCAAGGGTGACCGACCGACACTGCTTTCTGGACAAATTGGTATTGATCCCATGGGATGCCCCAAGTCTGCGCGAACGTTTCTAGCTTCTCACTGGCTCGGTCGTGACAATCGGACTTCAGGGTCTGCTGCTCAAAGCTCTGAATGCAATCGAAAACACACACCCCTCCCCCGGTGGAATAGGAGATTGCATCGAGCAAGGCTGGGTGGATATATTTGAGCGAACATGAATTGGGGCCGAAATGCGAACGAAGGCCTGGACAGGCGGCAAACTGGACATGAGGCCGACTAACACAATTCGGTTAGAAAACATGGGGGGCGATCGGTGGGATGCGCGAACTGCGAGGTTGAATTCCTGCGACGGCGCGAATCTGCTGCATAGCCTCTCTGGAGTCAGGTGTGATGAGATGAAGTGTGTCAGGCAACGGCCGGACACCAGCGTTAACACAGGCCAGGGCATAAGCATTGGCAATGCTCCTGGCCAATGGCATGGGATACGCTGTTTCGGTTGCTGTTGCAAACTTTTGCGCAGTATGATCGAAACCCCACCTTCGGTGGCGATGAGATGCTGACACTCCTGGGCACGTTAATGACAAAGCCACAAATTCTTTTGAATTGAAAGCAAGCATAGTGCGTTTGAGTCTTAGACTTCCAAATTGGCAGGAGTGAAATACAGGGTAATTCATCAAGTGGGCAACGGATGTCCAAAAGGTTGCTGACCAGAACAAACTGTATTGAGGGTTCTCAACACAAACCACGCAACCAACTTGATGTGCCCATTTGACAAGTTCTGCAGTTAAGTGATACAATCTGTTAGCGATCGAAACTCGTGCGAGTTCGTTTGGACTGAGGTCTGGGATACTTGTCATCGGTACGACGAGGCCGTGGGCCCGAGTCCTGCGCCTGCGCACCTCTTTTCCTCTTAAGAGGGATCTGACGAGCGCGGGACGCCGAACCCCAAGGCGGAGCCAAAAAGATCCCTACTATGTTTGGATTACGAAGCCATTGCCAAAGAAGTCGTACTCCGTTCGGAGTGGCTAGATCGGCGACGACAACCTGCGAAGACGCATTCTTTGCTCTAATGTTGTCAACTCCAAATGCGCTCTTCATACCAAGTTGTTTTCAACAACAAGTGACGCGCGCAGTGCCTGCGAATATCTCAATCACTAGGCACGTCGACAAATCCACGCCAGAGTTTGCCAATTCTCTGACGCGGGCTAGCGGTCACGAAGTCTTGGGTCGGTCGTGATCAGCTTCTGGGCGGGGCGCTTGGCCTCCGCGCCTCACGCACAAATGCCAACCCGACTGACATTGCGCTCCATCAGCCGCACCGGAACATTTCTTCAAGTTGTAGTCGAAGCATAGCCTGCGTCCATGTGGATCTGATGAAACGTTATCCCTGCCCTGCAGCTGCTTCGGGATGAAACTGTTCTTTCCTTTGCCCTTACCCTGCTTACCTTTGCCCTTTCCCTTGCCTTTTCCATATGGATGCCACTGCCACTTGTCGTATGTCTCCTTTCCATACTGTTTGAATGTCTGCTGAGAACCGGCTGCGGAGGATGATGATTCGTCTCGCAATGAGACCTTGGGCAAAGGCAACAAGTAAAAACCTACTTCATAGCTTTGCAACGCTGTCAGGATTGCTTGATCCATCGGCAGGGTGTTTGCTT